CGCGATATTTCGCGTAAAATAAGCGCAATATCGCATTAATAAGCAATATTGTATGCAAGCTTGTAAAAAATTTCGCTGTTTATGCCAAGTATAGCTCAAAATTAAACGAAGGGAGATTTTACGCGATAGTTAAAATTCAGATTTTTTTTTCTGTGTAGGATTGTAACTGTTAACCTTGACGATACCATCCTAACCAGGTTACAAAAAGTAATTTCTTATGTTTTGTGTTGAATTGCCTAAATCTGGTTTCAGTTGGTTATTTGGATTAATGTTTATTTTATTAAAAATAATGGGCTATGTTTTTTTTGCGCATTGCACTCTATTCTAGCATTTAGTTCTCCAGTTATTTTGTTAAAATTGGATATTGGGTGGCGATGAAATTAAGGTGAGATTTAATTTGATGTAGGTATTTTCGCAAAACTAAAACCCTGTGTTTTGAAAAGATATTTAAATTTCAAAAAGCTCGCATCATTTAGTATAAAATAGTAAAGAAATGTAATGACGAAAACTTTTTGCGACCTAAAATGACGCGTCGAAAATAACTGAGTATGAATTTTTCGAAAATAAGTAAGAGTAAATTGCACCTTATGAATACCATCAACTTGATCTTCTCCAATGAAACTGTAAAACCCCTAATGGGCGAAATAGCCAATTTAGTAAAAGAGCTGGATGCGGATCCTGTTCAGTGTTCCAATGGAAACAACATACTGGATTGCGGAGGAGATAACACATTTCATAAAATTCAAGTCAGAATTGATGCTGCATGCGTTGACGGTTAACTTGGATTATTATTATTATTATTATTATTATTATTATTAGTATTATTATTATTATTATTATTATTATTATTTATTGTAGTCACTTTAACACTCTCAAAACGGCGCCTGTGGTAAGCGTTATTGCCTCTCACTACTGTATTCGTAATTTGTCCCACGCGCAAATGTCGCAAAAAGACATTTCAATCGCCGTGGGAGTGTCCCGGTGGACCATTGAAAGGGTTTTAGACCCAGATAAGAAAGGACAACTATCCGCGAAGGTGGCCACAGGTCATCCGAGGTCAGCTCGGGTTCTAAGGGTTATCCATGCTATCAAAAGGATGATTCGGGTGAATCCAGTGCGTTCAATAAGGAAAATAGCAAAGGAACACGGGATCAGTGACTTTACGGCGCCAGAAGATCGTAAAGGAAGATTGCGGGGCGAAGTCGAGGGCACGGAAAAAAACTCACATGATTACCAACCGCATCCGGGAGCTACGAGTCGAACGATGCAAGAAAATCTTGAACTTCCGAAAGCGAAAAAATCCGGTAATCCTGTTCACCGACGAGAGCATGTTTACCGTCGATCCCGTATCAAATTCCAGAACCGACCGGTACATTAGTTCTCTTCCGGTGAAAGACGTGGCCGACGAGCACAAAAACGTGTATCTGGCCAAGCATCCTGCTAGCGTTATAGTGTTTGGATTGGTGGCTTTCGATGGCAATAAAATGAACCCGGTGTTCAATCCAGAGGGCTACAAGGTCAACACGGTGGTCTACATCGCGATTTTAAGTAAGTATGTTCTTCCGTGGATCAAAGAACAGTACGGTCCGAAGCCAAATGTTGTATTTCAACAATATGGGACTCCGTGCCACACTTCGAACCGCACTCAGAAGTGGTTGCAGGAACATCTTCCGTTCAGGGCGAAGGATATGTGGCTGCCATCCAGCCCGATCTTAATCCGCTGGATTACTCAATATGGCGCGTCATGAAGGCCAAGGCCTGTTCTAAACGCCACCCGAGTACAGCAAGCCTCAGACAAACATTGACCCGTACCTGGAGAGAAATGGATCCAGACTACATTATTAGAACCTGCCGTGCATTCCGGAAGCGTGTGGAGGCCGTAATTGCAGCAAGTGGAAACTCGATCGATGATTAACATAGTTTATGACTCGGAGAAACATCCTCCAAAAACTCGAAAACGAAATATTTGAGAATTTTTTTAATTTTGACATTGCTTAAGGGGGTAGTACACTTTGAACGTCCAAAAAGTAAGGCATGTTCGTTAATTTTTTTTTAAGCAATAAAACGCTCAGGGAGGGCAAATGTGTTATAACCCATTTATTAGCCATCCTTCGAACTACAATTTGTATTTTTTTTTAACTCGATTGGCGTCTCCCCGTGGCCGGTGCACCAGATCGCGCGGGTGTCATCGCGTGGAAGTCGGAAAACGGCGTGGGAAAATACTCCTTTCCATGTGATCCTGGAACATAAATCGAACAAAAATACTGATTAGTAATGAAATTTGGGTTACAAATACGTATTCAAATTTTTTTTTAAATTATTTTTTTCAAAAGTTGCGGCTTAAGGAAAAAAAGTCCATTTTTTCACCCTAAAAATGCTTACAAAATCGTGGATTAAAAATCCATTTTTGACAAAATCGACAAAATGTGGATACGTATTTCTAAGCAGAATTTAATTCTGAACAAGAAAACCTAGGCGATATTCAAATTTGATGATAACTGGTTAGAGTTATTTCCCACGCCAGTTTGAAAAACCCCGTTTCGAGATAAACGCGTTTAAAGATAAAATTGCTCTCTCAGCGCGCCGGTACATGTTTTAGGAAATCGCTTCGTAAAGCGGTAAGGAATATTCTGGCGGACTTGGAGTCTTTTCTAAATTAAACTATACATCCCAAGGAACATTTTAAGACAAAAAAATGCATTTTTTTTTAAATCAAAGTGTACTCCCCCCTTAATGGTACAAACATTATCACGCATACGGTACTCCTGCCCTTGGAATTCTATGCATTTTGAAAGTTTCCTAAGAATCCCTTGCAGTAGAGTAACCAATTCCATAGATTTCTCATAAAAAGATTATTTGGCATTCTCCGAACTCTCCAGGAATTCTTTTGAAGTTTTTCGAGAATTATTTTCAGGTTTAAAGGGTGATACGGTCAAAATTTGGTCAACATCAACTTGACGTATTTCTTTCAATTTTGCATTTAAAAAACCTGAACACCCCTCATTTTGAAGGTGCGTGTGTGTAGAATGTTGCTCCTATTTTGATTTTGGAATTCACTCTTCAGTTGTCAAAATGCCGTCCAAGCAAGAAGAGCAGCGTATCAAAATTTTGCTCGCGCATCGCGAAAATCCGAGCTACTCGCACGCATAGTTGGCAAAATCGCTAAAAGTTGCCAAATCAACCGTTACAAATGTAATTAAAGTGTTTGGGGAACGTTTGTCGACAGCCAGGAAGTCTGGATCGGGGGGAAATCGAAAACCGGAAGCCGCTGAGACGACAAAGAGAGTTGCCGGTAGTTTCAAGCGAAACCCTAACCTCTCTCTCCGAGATGCCGCAAATAAGCTGGGTGTATCGTCTACAACCGTGCATCGAGCCAAAAAACGAGCCGGACTATCGACTTACAAGAAGGTAGTGACTCCAAATCGCGATGATAAACAAAATACGACGGCCAAAGCGCGATCCCGGAGGCTGTACACGACGATGCTGACGAAGTTTGACTGCGTGGTAATGGACGACGAAACCTACGTCAAAGCCGACTACAAGCAGCTTCCGGGACAGGAGTTTTATACGGCAAAAGGAAGGGGAAAGGTAGCAGATGTTTTCAAGCACATGAAACTGTCAAAGCTCGCAAAGAAATATCTGGTTTGGCTAGCCATCTGTACCTGTGGCTTGAAAAGCAGCATTTTCATAGCTTCCGGGACTGTCAACCAAGAAATTTACGTGAAAGAGTGTTTGAATAAACGTCTGCTGCCTTTCCTGAAGAAACACGGTTGTTCCGTACTGTTTTGGCCGGATTTGGCATCTTGCCATTACGGTAAAAAGGCCATGGAGTGGTACGCCGCCAACAACGTGCAGGTGGTTCCCAAGGACAAGAACCCTCCCAACACGCCAGAGCTCCGCCCAATTGAGAAATACTGGGCTATTGTCAAGCGGAACCTAAAGAAGACCAAAAAACTGCTAAGGGCGAGCAGCAGTTCAAGGCAAACTGGCTTTCTGCGGCGAAGAAAGTGGACAAGGTGGCTGTACAAAATCTGATGGCAGGGGTCAAGCGTAAGGCCCGGCAATTCGGATTTGGAAAAGCGGAAGCCTAACTGAATATTTTTTCCTGAATTTTATACTAATTGAACTTGAAAAAGAAATTTAATTTGATTTTTTAAATAAACGATTTCACCGATTTACACGCGTTTTCCCTTGACCAAATTTTGACCGTATCACCCTTTAATTGTAATCCTGCTTTTCCTGTACTGCTGCTGTACTCCTACTATTCTCCGAAAATTCCTGTGGAATGATGCTACGAATTATTTTTTTCCGTGAAACATCTTGAAAATATTTACAGAATTCCTTTGAAATTATTCTTTGAACTTTCTTGGCTTCCTCCTCAGAATACCTTGGGAATCAACTTTAGAAATCCGTTTGAGTTTTCATTCAAATTTCATTCGGGTTAACATTACTACTAATGGAAAAATGAAGGAATCCGCAGCATCTATAGAGTTATACAAATTATCGAATTATAAAATATCGAGTTGTGTTCTTATATTCGTGAACAAAAATTCATGAAAATTAGAACTCTCAGTTGGTTCAAAATCATGACTTGATTCCCGAAAACGTGATATGTTAATTAACATTTTCATGAACAGGATCCCAAATCAATGAACTTAGTTCATGTCTGTTCTCCACCACCGTAACTCCGTTACGCAATACAATATAGAAACCAAAATTATGATATCGCGATGCTATAAACCCCTAAACGTGATTTGGATCCAGAATTTGTGAACATTGTCATTTTCAATAACGCAAGCAAAACAATTTGTTTCTGTTATTGTACTGCTAGCAGAAGATTAAACATCTTATTCGGGCCAATGGTAACAGATTCCACCGTCCAATCCATCAAGTTGTATGTATCAGCTGACAAGTATTTCCGGATAGCAGCAATGCACAACAGTGGTGTCCGTCAACTTAATCAGATTGGAAAATTCTTTCTCCCAGACCGGCAAGATTTACTGCGACAGACGTAAGTTTCACCTTCAGATCCAATCAACTTGAGTACCTCACACAGCAAAAAATAAATTTTAATATTACATCAACTTGAGTACCTCACACAGCAAAAAATAAATTTTAATATTACATCCAAGAGGATGCACTTCAATCATGTCGAAAAGTTCATGGAATTTTTATGGCCACACAAATGAACAAATGCAGTAAAAGCATCGTAATATCAGTTCATGCACTGTATTAATGATAATTTATTTTTGACACAATTGAAGTGCATCTACTTTTATGTGATATAAAAATTATTTTTTTGCTGTGCAGCTAGCAGATACTCCAGAACAGAGACGGAGTAGACGATTGCCGACATAAATAGCCGTACAGTTTTCAAAAGTTGATATACTCTAACTCTACCATACTTTGAGGTCTGATGTTAAGTGCGAGCCAAATGGGAAACTACCTTGTCTTTCGCTTTCCTAAATCCTGGCCAGCTTTTCCACCTGCTTAGACATCGTACACACAAGTACAAACTCTTATATTAGAGCAGAAATTCATTAACAATGTATAAACAGATCAAGGAAATTATTCACAGTCATAATAAATAAATTTTACACTTAAAAACTATGTTCCCACGTTCATGAACAGAATCATAATATCAAGAACAGCTTCTGAACTATAGTGACGTTTTCCAGAACTAAAGGGCGAACACAAAATTATTGCGACACCGAAAATGTCATGCCAATTTTCTTATAATGTTTAGAATCAAACCAAAATTTTAGGGTAGTTTTATACATATATTTACTTCAAAAATCAAAAGAAAGTTAATCGATGGAGCCTTGAGTGTAAAATTGCACGCATTTTCGCTCCATCAAAGTCTTTACAGTGTCATCCGGTACCAGTTTCTCAGTTTTTTTCCATTTTCTTAACATGTCCTTCTCGTCTTTGACTGTCTTCTTGCTCTTCCGAAGTTCCCGCTTCATTATTGCCCAGTACTGCTCCACCGGGCGCAGCTCCGGACAGTTTGGCGGATTCATGTCGTTTGGAACAAAATGGACAGAATTGGCCTCTTACCACTCCAGGACACTTTTAGAATAGTGGCATGATGCCAAATCTGGCCAAAATAGCGGAGCTTCGTCGTGCTGCTACAAGAACGGCAAAAGGCGCTTCTCGAGGCACTCAGATTTGTAGATCTCGCCATTTACTGTGCCCTTTGTCACGAAAGGCTCACTCCTCAGTCCGCAAGAGCAGATGGCCTGCCAAATGAGATATTTGGAGGCGAACTTCGACATTTTCTTCTTTTTAAATTTGTCGTCCACATCGAACTTGCTCTTGCCGGTGAAAAACTCCAACCCCGGAATTTGCTTAAAATCGGCTTTTGTATACGTTTCGTCGTCCATCACACAGCAGCCATATTTTGTCAGCATCTTCTCGTAGAGCTTCCGTGCCCGAGTTTTAGCCGTCGATTGTTGCCGCTCATCGCGGTTTGGGAAGTTCTGTACCTTGTATGTATGTAGTCCAGCTCTCTTCTTTGCATTCTGGACGTAGCTCTGCGACATGCCGATCTTTTTAGCCAGATCACGGCTTGAGACGTTGGGATTTGCTTTAATCATCCGCTTCACCTTTCCCTCCGTCTTTTTGTTCTCCGGTCCCGGTTTTCTTCCAGCTCCTTTGCCGTGGTTCAACGTCAACCGCTCCTGGAACCACTTCAACACTCTGGAGACGGTTGAATGGTGAATGTTCAACATTTTTCCCAACTGCCGGTGCGACAGGTCAGGAAATTCCAGGTGTTTGGAAAGAATTTGTTCTCTCAACTCGCGTTGGTTCACCTCCATTTTCGTTGAATCGAAAAACACGACTTCGAGTTTGACAGCATGTACACAATACACATCAATGAGAAAGTGTGCAAAATTTGGTTGATTTTTACCCAATGGTAAAAAATTTATGCCCTGTTGAATGTGTCGCAATAATTTCGTGTTCGCCCTTTAAATCATGATTTTCAGAATAGAGTTCACGTAGTGTTGTGTTGCCGTTACCGGTGAGCGAGGTACGCTGACGCAGGCGTTACTTTAATTTTGCGGAACAAGGTTTCCGAATTCATGATCTGTATTCATGGTGTACATTCGTAAAGCGATAATCGATTTGTTCCGAAAATCGTGACTTGAGGTTGACGAATTCCAGAATGGATTTTTTCACGTGTACACTTTTGGGGTAGGGTCATTTTTTGGTCATCTTAAAATCCTAATTCTTGTTTTATAAATTACCAATAGTCCCTCGGCTCCGTTTAGCTTTATAAGACACTAGCTGAGTGTGCCCGGCCTTGCTCGGGATTCAATATTAGCTTGAGTTTATGCGCCAATTAAAATAAACATGCTATATTGTACGTAGCCCTCCCCCCTCTTATCTAAGGGGCTACCCTCTATGACCTCCACATGCCAAATTTGGTTCCATTTGCTTGATTAGTTCTCGAGTTATGCTGAAATTTCTGTTTCATTTGTATGGGAGCCCCCCTTTACAGAGGGGGGAGGGGTCCCGAACCATCATAAGAACCTTTCCCTGCCCCAAAAAACCCTGCATACAAATTTTCACGCCGATCGGTTCAGTAGTTTCCGAGTCTATAAGGGTCAGACAGACAGACAGAAATTCATTTTTATATGTATAGAAGAAGAAGATTAAGGCTACCAAATATTAACAAGTGTAATATACAAAAATTGATTGATTTGTTTGGAGCCTCCGATAGCCTAGTCAAATAAGGTACGGCGTTACAGGCCTTTTCGATTCCGGGACTCTTTAGGGATGTCTGTCGTTGATTGAATCTTAGCACGCTTGCTTTTTTATGAATTAATCCTGACAGCACTGCCAGTGTCGTGCCACAGGAGTGACTAAGCCCGCACGCTGTTTGATTGAGGAGAGCAGGGGGGAAAAAATCTATCATTGAATTATTTATTAACCATATTTCGTCGTCCTTCTTTGTCGTCCTCGTGGTGGTGCGTTCTGATTCTGGAACCTGCTGAAACACACTGCTCGTCACGAACGGTAGTGACGGTGATTCCTACTTCATTGTGTATGTAACAAAGGGGTTTCTCATCACATATAGCGCACCAAGTCGCGTCGCGGCACACAAAGCCAACATCACCGGAGGCAAAAAGGACTAACTGTGGCGAAGTAATACACGTGGCCCTCGGCACCAGGACTCACCAACTCAAACCAGTGTGGCAGTGAGAGAGGTGACACTTGGCCGAAATCGATACGGATGTTGAGTAAGGGACGGGGAAGGGGGTTCATCGAAGGGCGGCAATGGTCTCCATCGGTGGGCATGAAACGTCGCCTCATTCATGGTACGGTCTTTGCTGGTGAAGGAAGCCTGATCGCGCTCGTTTTCTCGCTGCGGCTGGAAGGCTGAACTTCATCAGCAACGACGACGACGGCGGCACCAGTAGCGGCTCCATCAGGACGGTTGGAAAGTTTGTTAATATTAGGTTTGTGTGTTGATGAAGATGGAAACAGCGAGAAGGTGAACGGGGGAAAAGTGCAGTGGGAGGTATTGGTCGTGTGCCGTGTGATAATGTTGTGGGGGAGAGTAAAACTCAACAATAGTGGTGCCGGCGATGCCGACGATGGTGAACGAAACCGGTGTGGCGTGGATGTGAATGGGAAAATACTGGCCTATATCGGTGTATCACGTTCTATGCACGGGAGCAAGTTTAGTATAGTGACCTATATAATTTCAGAAATAGAGTGCCTGTGGAATGAAGAACAGTAGGTGAATGACGAACAGCTGGAATGTAGGGATTGGTGGAGTGAGATGTTCCGGGGCTGTCGAAATGGCATTGAGCGGAAAACATTTCGATATCAGTGAAAGTTTGGGTTGTTTTTGAGAGGGAAACAAATATGAAACTGTGAAAACTATTCCTAAGGTTAGTGGAGGACACTTTGAGGAAAAAATACTCTGCGGAACTTTTTTTCTCCAGTTGACTTCAGAAGACATTAAACTTTTATAAAGCGGTTTGGCTGCATAACGCAGATGGTGAAAAATCGTGCCTTGTGTTGTGCTTTTCGTTTTTGTTGCAGCCTTAAAAATGGACAATGTTTTTTAAGCACTGTGCCTGATTTTCAACGACATACTTGTGCTGATTAGTGTTAAAGTTTTTTATTTCGTGACCGAACAGGTAATTTGTGAAATTTTCGATGGGTTTGAGCCGTGTGGAAAATTCTATTTCAATATTAAAAGACGTGCCAGTGCATCAAAGTTCGGGAGTAATTCCTTCACACGCCGTCTGTATGTATACCATCAGTCCCACCAGTGCAGACACATAGCTACTGGTGCCTACCGATATAGCGAACGCGAGATACATGACGACGACCATCTGATCGTAAACGGTTCACAGCTTTTCTCATATTTTTGCCGCTTTGGTCCTCGAAAATATTCCAGGCATGGTTCCGTAGTATGACGTCATGGTTTGAATTTTCCGCACGAAATGGCACTCCTTTTGAAGGCATGCTATCTGTGCTCGTGCCAAGTAGCATGCGGCTGACGACGATGCTTTTTAGAATATTAAATTCTCGCGTGATGCAAACTTTTCTTTGATGGTTGAATGTTTATTTAGAATTTGACGCGGATAATTAGATTTGAAATCCGCGGAAAACATTTTGAACATATTCCTGCAAATTACTGGAGTAGGGTAGGACGCAAAACGAACTTCTGGGGAAAAATGGCCCACGCGGTTTTCCATAGCTTTCTTTTTATAAATTCGTGTATTCAAAATGCATTGATAGTTCAGTTCTTAATCTAGCATTTCGGCACATATAATCCCAGAATTAATAATGGGAATGCAACGAAAAACCGCTCGATGCATTTTTTTTCCAAGGAGTGCATTATGGGCTATTCTCTCCTACCATTCTGTTAATGCCGAGAAGCCCATTATGACTTCCATAAAAAGAAAAATATAAAAATAGCGAGTTGCCTCTCTAGCCTCTCTAAGTAAATTTTCAAGATTAACAAGCGTAATGGACTACTGGAAGTAGCAC